ATCTTTAATCTAAAGAAAACCTAGCTACCATAATTCAGGATGGCTAAATAGGCCTATAATATTAATATCCTACGCGTTCTTCAGTGAGAAACGCGTGATGTCATTGCAACAATGCAAGCAGGAATTCTCTACTACGAAAAAGTTATAGAATTTCTTGCATTTGCGTCAACGCAAGCAATTGTCAAATATGCTTTATTGCCAGTACAACCGAGGATTTCGCACATCGTGTATGCTTGCGTGCTTTAAAAGTTAGTACGGTACTCAGTAGGTGTTCTTCAAAGTAAGTGCCACAAATAATTCAGAACATATACCTATGCTATATATTATAACTGATTTTTTTTAAAACTTTAAACAATTCAGACTAGCGGAAATTCTCCAAGAGCTGTTCAAGAAGCCAATGTACTGGATCCCGGGATTTTTCAAGAGAACGCAAGCGGGAAAAGAATATCACGCGTGTCTTGACATAGTACATGGACTCACGTCTAGGGTATGTTTGAGATCAGTAAAGTAGCAATGTAAATAGAAACTTCGCTGGATAGTGCGGGATCAGCTATTTATAATACATGTTCAAGAAAATTAGCTTTTCTCACCAAACGGTGCAAGGAAGTAAAACTGGTTTGTTATTATTTCAATAAATATATTGCTAATTATATAGACATATCGACTCACGAAGCTACCGCTACCGGATGTAATCACATTTAAAAGCATCAGTTACATAGGAGATCATTGTGTTATTTTTCTTGCATTCCAACGTCCATTGTGACGTAACATGCATTTATACCTCCAGGCTACTTCTAGTCACGTAAGCATACTCTGTTATTTGTGTATGCATTCCAATCGGTTCTGCAAATGTTTAATTTAGTGTGGCTGTTTGGGCGGCAGGCACTGGTATAAGTTCTGTGGTATTTTGTCGCGTGATTTCTGTATAACGCAAAAATATAGCTATTCTACTAATCTCCCATTTTCCATCTTGTGAACATGATTACCTGCGTTTAAACCGTGCGCGTACTATGCTAGCTCGCAGTGGCTTGAGATAGCGCAGTATAAGGCTCCCAATTTGAAACAATTAATACTGAAAATCGACTGTGGTGACTGGTGTGGCGGTAGCATTGTTTGCGTTTTGCGTAAAGTTTGTTTAGGTCTATTTAAAACGTGGTTCACACTGGCAGCAAAATTGGGTAGTGTGAACCAAAGTTTAAATGAGGAAGAGCGCATATCACTGTTAATGAATAGAGGAAAAACCATATCATTAACATTGATTTGGGAACATTGATACATTAAGTCGAATCATTATCATATTCTAAATCAAAAATGTCATTGTATTTACCAGGTGATAAGGTCTAGATTGGAAGTCTTACAGAAATCAGGCTTAGATCAGGAATTCAATGGCAACTTAGGGGAAAGTCAGGAGGAACGTCCGGTATTTCTCGACGTACTACTGAGATCCCATCTAGACAATCCGGAGTTTACTTTTGATGACATTAGGGAAGAAGTGGATACGTTTATGTTCGAGGTATCGTTATTATTATAAATAGTATAAGTTCAGGAAAATGAAATCAAAAATATAAATCAAAAAAAGGAAAGAAGGAGTAGACATTGGCTGGCCATATAATACCTAATTTACCATATGGCCAAAGAGTCTTATGTTCACTTTGTTTTAATTAAGTTAAGCCTAATGATAATTATTTATATAATGATAATTTTAAATTTCAACTTTCATTTATTCACGACATAAAATGAACGTGGTGTACAGTGGTGGTTGACAATATAAGAGCAGAGTTCAAACATTTAAGGCCACCCTAAACTTAAAATAGAGTGTAATAAAGATACTATTTTATTATAAAGACTATATTAATTAATTAATTATATGTACAAATGCTATATTATTATAAATTAATATGCTAATATAAAATATATTAATGAATAAACAAGTTAGATAAAACCACTTCGCTCAGCTTACGTTAAGTCCGTATAATACATGCATTGATCAATACACATACTTTAAAAAATTTGTTCAGGGTCATGACACAACATTCTCGGCTTTGTCATGGGCCATCAACATAATCGGGAACCATCCAGGGGCCCAGGCGCAGATTCACAAAGAGCTGGATGACATTTTCGGCAATGATGACCGCCCTGCGACTAAAGAAGACCTGTCTAAAATGAACTACCTGGAAAGAGTAATCAAAGAGTGCCTCAGGATGAAACCTCCTGTCACAGCTATTGGCAGGCAACTCGACGAGGATACGATGATTGGTCAGTAAAGAATATGACGTCATGATAAGCGATTAACGTGATTTAGGCTATATTGTAATTGTTGATGTCGATAAGTTTTCCGACCAAATAATCTGAGGATGATGATGATGCTGATTGTGGTGGTGATGGTGATGTTGGTAGAGCTCGTAATGATGATCATAATATTTGGCAATGATGCCCGAATACAAAATCGGCTGGTAAATGCTTTATATTTTATATCTAAAACTACCAAAAAGTAATTCAGAAACTACCTCAAAATAACTCAAAAGTAATCTATGCTTTTCTTTGATAGATGGGCTCAATTTCTCAAAAATCGTCCTCTATAACGAATCAAGGGGTAATTTGGATTCACTTGATTCAGGGTATTTTGACTTTTTCTAATTACGAATCCATTGGATCCCAAGCGAAATCTTTCATCTAAGGGCCAAAATGGCCGGTTTTATTCAAGGGCATCCATGGAAAACATACTAACACTCTATGTTTGGTTACTATTAGCCTTAGAGAGTTCAAACTGTTCGGAAGACTCATGTTTCTATTCACTGTAATAGAACAATTCCACCACACAATATTAGGAAAAAGCTATAACCAAAAAACCCATTTTTGGCCACAAAAACATGTTTATAAATTGTTTTTAAAGAAAGCCATCGAATGCTTTACATTTATTAAATTGTGGCAAGTGGTAGCTAAAGTGACAATAACGAATAACAAACAATATTTTTCTTAAAAACTCTAATAAGTTACGCATAAAAATATAATTAATTTAACGTTTAAAAAAGCCGGTTTTGGTATTAATGTTGGAAAAAATCAGGACAAATCCGTAACTCTGTTAGTATTTTTGCGGGAGAGTTGAATTTGGTCTGGTATTACTCGGAATACATATTTCTATTAGCTGTAATAGAACATTTTCTCCAAAAAATAACAAGGAAAATATTTATCACCAAAAAAGCCCGTTTTAGGGAAAAACACTTTTATAATTTTCTTATTCTCAATGCCGTAAAATGTTTTTACTCATTCAATACTGGCAAATGAGCTAAAGTCACATTAAAAAATCACCAAAAGATATATTTTAAAAATTCTGTATACTTCATGCATAAAAATATATTTAATTTTACTTCGAAAGGAGGTTTGAAAACATTTTTTTTGTAAAAAATCCGAAAAAACTCTGTTAGTATAGGTCTAGGCCTATGTGCATGAGAGTTTAATTTTGTCTCATATTACTCAGAATACATTTTCTCAAAAAATTACCAAGAAACTATTTAAACCTATTAGCAAAAAAAAAACAACAAACTCATTTTAGGGCAAACCATAATTTTTATAATTTTCTTATTTTCAAGACCTTGAAAAGTTTTAAAATGAAGGCAAAAGAGCTAAAGTGACATTAATAAATTACAAATATGTTTGTTTAAAATTCTTATACTTTATACATAAAATACACTTATCTACAATACAAATCTACGTATTGAGAAGCTTGTATTGCGATTTATGGACCATTAGGGCCTTTGCAGGATGTACCTATATAAACTAAACTAAGCTTTGTTTAATGGAGAAATGTGTGCAAGTTATCAAAGCTCTCTTTGTCTGACATTTTGACAAACCGTGTGATGCATGACCATGTGACGCTGTATGTATATAGAATGTTATTATAGGCGCTCCAAATTAGCCTACTGCGTCTATGGGCGCAGCAAAAATATTTCCTAAAATCAGAATATACAATTTGATTATCAGTGAAACAACAGTAAATGTTCATATATAATTTTTTGATTTTGGTATGAAAGTAGCTACGAGTATAAGGTATATGATTTTTTATTCACTCTAATGAAGAAGGTTATAAAAAAATGCATAGAAATCTGATTTTAACAATGTTACTAGTAGTTCGTGGAATTAGCGGATACCGTAACGATCGGTAATTGATTGTTATTATAAGAAGTTGTTTTCACTATGGTAAAATTCAGTGAAGCCACCAAATTGCACAACTGACACACAGTTAATGTATAATATTTTGTTGGTAGATAGTATACCTTCGAGCATCTGGCCAGATTTTTTACTCCACTTTGCCAAATGCCAAATTGCAAACTCAAAAGTTGTGAAACCCAGTTTGCCGAATCAATCTTGGCCGTAGTCCAGCTTGCCGAATGTATATTTATACACACAATAATTTAATATTATATTATCTAACAAATACTAAACATTCAAAAGGCACACACTAAAATAGCCTTTAGGCTTAAAAATACAAATTAAACAGCTGTTGATACTTATTTTTACTTCACACTTAAGTATAGAAATATATGTTTATCAATAAATTAAATGATAGCGCCAAATTAATTTTAAACTTCTTAATAGCGATCAAGCATTGCATAAATATTTATCGTTCCCTACAATTGCTATAGTCACTGGCTAAGAAACTAAATTAGTTTTAGTAACTTAGATTGGTTCTTTGTTAATGCTCAAATTCCTGAATTCGCCACAAGAAGACAGCTGTATCATCGATGAGAATGAGGACAAGTAGGCCTATCAAGATCTATAATTTTGTCTAAAATTTGTTAAACATCCGACAGGATCCGTCTATCACGTTTACCAAAAAAGTAGTCTGCTTTTCCCTGTACTTTTACAGGTGGAATAGTAAAAAAATTAAACTGTTTTAGCACAAATAGGGTTTCATAATTTTTTAGTTACAAACTGGAGTTTGGCAAATTTGGTTTCGGTAAAATGGACTTCAATCTGGGGTTCGGCAAACTGGATTTCGGCAAACTGGTCGGATAATTTTGCTTTGTCATACACTAAATTTACTAAATTACTGCCTACATGCCAGCGTTGCTGGCATTGCATTGCTCCATAAAATACTCCACAAAATTACTACACAAAATACAAAAAATAAAAAAATATTGCACAAAATGTGCATTGCTCCACAGAATGTGGAGCATCGCATTTGCTGTCTGGCTGACATTACATGTTACGCAAGATTAAAATTATTAAAATATTGGTATTTTAAGAAATTCAAATTTAACCATGACTTTATGAGTTTTATTCAATCATTTCACCAAAAGCATATCTGCCAAAACGTTCAGTATGGTGGTTATTTACATGCACTGTGAATGTTAGTACTCATTTAGACACGCCATTTGAACTAAATCTGCCTGCATATGAGGTCAGCAAATACAGGCAACCTACCGGTATTCTTTCTGTTTTCAACCTCAAAAGCCAGTTACAAAAATACCGTATGTGTGCCCTAAAACAGGTTTTTTCCTGGTAATTTTTGAAGAAACTGTTTCATCACAACTGACAGAAATATATTTATTATGAGTAATATGAGCCCGAATTGAACTCTCCTGCACATATACTAACGGAGCTACTAGTAGGTAGAGGACCTGACTAAAATTTGCATGCACTTAGTTTAGGAGAGAATATCTCAAAAGTTATAGACTAATGTGAACCCTAGGAACAGCATGGGATGTGTGCCAAAATCTCTATCCGGGACAAAGAGCCCGAAAATATTAATATGCTTAGAATTATCAATAATAGTAATAATATCCTCAAGGGCCTTGATATAATATTGCCTTTATACGTTTTAATAATAATTCATATACGTTCTCTTTATTGATATCCTTCCTCCTATTTTAAAATAATTCATCGACCATTTGCCATGAACTGTACGTTTTATCCTTCCAGACGGTTACCTTGTACCGAAAAATGTATTTCTGATGATAAGTCTGGACGCTATTCACCACAATCCCAAACACTGGAAAGATCCCGATAAATTCGATCCCGATAGGTTCCTGCCAGAAAATGCCGCCGTCCGACGGAAATACGCGTATGTGCCTTTTTCAGCAGGCAGACGTAACTGTATCGGTTAGTTCTTCAGAATTAGCCTGAGTTTCAGGCCTTAATTTTGTTTACTCATAAATTGTATGAAAAATACTCTTTTTATTGCGCTCAGTGCGCGCAATACCCAAGTTTAATTGGCGTCCCATACATTATATCTGTTTTTTCATAACACCGTAAAACCTCGAATTGAAGCCCTGGGTTTCTTTTTTTCGAACTTTGGATGGGCTTTTTTTTTCAAATGAATGCTGTAAATTTTATGAATTTGTTCTATAAAACAATAAATAGGCCTAAGTCCACTGTAACATCAATCTGTATCATGGAGTGTATTTAACTGGCATTAAATCACCTAAACTACTGTATAAACCAAGGTTGTTTTTTAATTTATTTTGTTTTTTGAAATGCATGTACAGTGTGTACTGTAATTTCTCGAAAAGAAGCCTATGCTATCGTGAAAAGAAGCCATGTGCTTCTTTTCGAGGCTAATTACTAAAGAGGGGGCTTCAATTCGAGATGGGCTTCATCTAGAGATTAAGCCCAGTGGGCTTCAATTCGAGGTTTTACAGTATTTCTAAAGTTATTCGCTCATTGGTGGCGCTATCAAGCAGGACTCCTTCTAGTACCGTGTGATGCATGACCATGTGACGCTGTATGTATATAGAATGTTATTATAGGCGCTCCAAATTAGCCTACTGCGTCTATGGGCGCAGCAAAAATATTTCCTAAAATCAGAATATACGATTTGATTATCAGTGAAACAACAGTAAATGTTCATATATAATAAGACCAGTGCTCGAATTATGATCATATGATGTTATAATCGCATCAAATTAAATGTTTGGTGTCTGGAGTTAGATCGCAGCCATATCGGAAGGTGTTTTTGGAGTAGCCTTATAACGCTTGCCTTGATCAGGATAAAATCCCACCAGAGACACTTTTTCCCCTACAACTAACTTTCCTTGTTGATTTAAATTTATCTAAGTTCATGACTATGACGTTCTATGGACCGTCATTCAAGAAGTCTGTACGGACCTAACTATTAAAATACTAAGTGATAGCCAGTGGCGTATCTAGCAGGGCCGGCGGAACGTTTTTTCAAAGTGGGGGTGGGGGCACTTATAAGCAGAATGGGAATGTCGGGGGGGGGGGGGCGGCAAAGGTAATAATTTTCCCGGTTAGTAATTTATGACTTGGTGTGATACCCCCACCCGATATAGAAAACAATACGACATAGGGCTTATTTTATTAATAATATAGGCCACGCACGTGTGTTTTGAAACTAAATATACGGTAAGCATTTTCATCGTGGTTATATTTATTACAATCATAGGCCTATTCTTTCACCATCATTACACATTGAGGCCCTTCTTTTAGGTAAAACGATCTATCTTAAATTTTCTTTCTCAAGTTTGGAACTATTATGTTTTTAAATAACTTAGTAGGCAAAGGAAAGCAAGCACAAGCTTTAACCCTAACAAATGCTCGCGAAGCGCGCGAAAATTTCGTCGGAATTGATCAAAACTCCCTAAATGTGCAATTTTTAGAGGAAATTGGCCTACCTAAACAAGAAATGCTCGTATGTTATATACGGCCACATTCGTTTTTTTTTAAACTGAATATAAGCATTTTCCTTATGGCTTTATTTATTACAAACATATTCTTTCAACATCATTACACATTGAGGCCCTTCTTTTAGGTAAAACGATCTATCTTAAATTTTCTTTCTTGAGTTTGGGACTATGTGTTATAACTTAGAAGGCAAAGGAGAGCAAGCAGAATCTTTAACATTAAAAAATGCGCGCGAAGCGCGGGAAAAATTTGTGTTTTTTTAATTCTAATTTCGTCGGAATTGATCAAAACTCCCTAAAATGTGCAATTTTTTAGAGGAATTTGGCCTACCTCAGCAAAATATGCGATTCAATGGGGAAAGATTTTCCACAGATGGATATTTTCCCCTTGTCACCCGGTGGTTACGGCACTGCGGTGAATACTTGGCGGCTTAGATCAGATGCGATATGGACACTTTTTGAAGGGGTTGCAGGCCGGGGTATTGTGATATCTGTTCATTATATCTTCCTTTTTATTCTTGCCTTTATTTTTCTCTTCTCTTTTTCTTTTCCTTTTCCTTTGTCTTTCTCCTTCTTTCTCTTTCCCTCCCTCTCCCCTCTTTCTTTTCTCTTCTTACCCAGCCCGGTATGACGGCTTGGTCAGCCCGGTAAAAACCGTCAGGGGGGACAGTCTGCCCCCTGGTCCCCCGCCTGTTACGCCACTACTTATAAGATGAATGGGAATATGAATCATGCAGATCTGGAATCGAATCTAAGTTGGGGGGGGGGGGTCAACATTCCTCCTCCGGGAAAATTTTGATTTCTAGATGGCGGGAAATGACCTTTCTCGACTTTTGAGTTAAGTGTCTAATGACTTTGTTCTTCAAAATTCAAGGTTTCCCCCTCATGAAAACGGTAAGGTAAACTTTCTCATTATAGTAAATAGGCCTGTTATGTGTGTATACATACATTAAAAAAAATTGAGTAGTTGCATACGATTTTTCTTCCATGAATCCATAAATCCCTTAAAGAAAGGGGGGTCCGTGGGTTCTCAAGTCATTAAAAAATACTTCAGAAGTCGGGAAATCTCATTGTCCACCATTTAGAAATCAACATTTTCCCGGGAAGAACTCGAACCTCCCTTTCTCTGGATTCATTATAATAATTTTCAAGAGGCGAACTCCTTGAATTTTGAAGAACTTAAAAGTAATTAAGTTCTTCAAAATTCAAGATTTTCCACTCTTGAAAACGGTCAGATAATTTTTTTCCCATTGTTATTACAGTAATTAGGCCTTATGTGTGTATACATACATAAAAAAAGATTTCTAGATGGCGGGAGATGAGCTTTCCTGATTTCTAAAATTCTTTAATTGACTTTTAAAGCTCTTCAAAATTCAAGGTTTTCCCCTCTTGAAATAGGTCAGGTAAATTTTTCTCATTTTTTATTTCATATGTGTATACATACATAAAAAATGAGTAGTTGCATGCGTATTCTTTTTTCCATGAAAAGAAATCAGCTCACGGGTCCTGAAACGGTAGGTCTAGAATTATTTTCTTTTTGCCCTTTTTTTGTTGCCCAGGGGAGGGGTAAGTACCAATGACCCCCCTCCCCCAGCACCAATATGAATTGCAAGAAAATGTAACTCGGTCGGGTACTGGATAAACATTCTCTTTCCCATCCTTCTCCTCCTTCTTCCCTCCTTTTTTTGCATTTCCGATCATACAAAATTCTCCAGACATTATATATTTTTCGGGGGGGGGGCCGCTTCCGCCGGCCATGTCTAGGGGTGCATGTACGCTTTCTCTCACCAGAAAGCTCCACCATTGAAAATGTCCGAAGCAAAAAATCACGCTCAAGTAGTTAATCACTTCATATCACTTATTTTGCGATCTAGCACCCTTACTTAACCATTTAGCCCCCCCACTCCATCTTCGTTCCCCCATCATCTCCATTTCAAGACTCTTAGATACGCCGCTGGTGAAATTCGGTTTTCCATCTGTTTATCCATCTAGGAATTCGATAATCGAGCTATAATGATTGACATCTCATTGTATAATCCTACAGTATTGAAGTGTGACTCATGGAGCATACAGGTCCTAAATGCCCATTGCACCTAGATTTGTACTTTACAATTATTATAATTTGATATGGTTTCACGGTCATTTAAAACCTGTGGTTAAAATGACCAAATGGCAAATTGTCTAAGTATAAGCGTCTAAGGATTCTGATAAACTGGTTCAAAGTGTTATTAAAAATAATAATAATAATAATAATAATAATAATAATAATAATAATAATAATAATAATAATAATAATAATAATAATATATCAATTTCTGATACTCTGCCATGATCATTAAAGATTATACGGTATAATTTACAATTTCAAAAATTTATTTTCAGGCCAGCGATTTGGCATGATGAAAATAAAGGTCATATTATCAACGTTGTATCGTCGATTTCATTTAAAAAGTTTACAAAATGGCGACAGGGAAACCCGTCCAGTTTCTGAACTTGTGGTCCGTCCACAAAATGGTCTCCATATTAATGTGACCAGACGAAGTCGATGATACAGTCCCTAATCATGTTTATCTTGATAATTTTCTACACGGCATTCATCAGCTCTTCAGTGGTTGGAAAGTACCGGTACTACAAGTACAAGTGTTCACCAATTTTGTTGGCTGTCAATAAGATGATTTTAGGAGATGGAAACAAATAACACTAACTGGAAATAATCTGTAACTGGAACAACACAATCCAGAAACAACACAAAGCTGAAATTAAGTTGAGCACACTATGCTGGAAACAAGCTAGGAATGAAATGGAACTGAAAGTTAGGACCGCAACAACTGGAAACAAACTGAAAACAATCTGGAAAGCCGGAAAGAAGCTTAAATGAAGGTGGCGCACACCGTGAAATAAGCTAGAACACAAGCTAAAGAGCCTACAACACAAGCTAAAGCAGCAACTCTAATAATTATAATAATAATAATGATGATGATGTTGAGGATAATGATGATGAACATATCGAAACGATAAAGATAATTATGGTTTTAATATGATTATGCTAATTATAAAAATATGCAAAAATACAAGTTATTGTAACGTACCTTGCATCGGAAGAGACGTTTCTGCATTTGTACATAAATTGACGCAGTACACTCTTCGAAAAAATAGCTGTACTGCCCGATTATTAAACCAGTGGTTGCACTCTGTAGACCTACTCCTATGTCTCGATATAGAGTGTTATTCTGCATTTTATTTGTAAATTAAGGTGTATATTTATATATATATATATATATATATAAAAACATATATTGCCTTGGTTTGGCTCTGTAATCATTAGTGGTAGTGGGACTGGTTTGGGCCCTTCCTAAGCTGGTCAAACGTTTCTTTTGGGTCTATACCCCAGCTGCACTGATGAGTCCTGGAAGGCCGAATCGGATCCGTCTGCAGATATTGGGATTCCTTCCAGTGGATACTTAGTTGTTTATTTTGTCATTCTGATCGGATTTTCTCTACTGTTCCGTTTTAATTATATATATATATATATATATATATATATATATATATATATATATGTGTGTTATTTTGTAAACGGTATAATAATTATTTAAATAGTTAATGCCATGTTTTATTATTATTTCAACCTTGTGAATGTGAAGTTGTATAATTTAGGCAATTTGATTTCCTATTCTAATTCAAAATATTTGACTTATTCTTATATAGAGTAGCCTGTATACTTATTGTCAGCAATACAATAAATTAGAAAACAGTTGTTAAATGCATTAATGTGAATTATAGTCGACAATTTTGAAAATGTCTACATCGATGAATCGGGTATTTTTTATTGTCCCTGACTAGTAATTAATTTTACAGAAAAAATACACAATGTATCATAGTTTGATAACAGACAAAAACTGTTATTCTTACAACATTGAATTTCCTCATTACCGTACTTCAAGCAAGGAAATACTTTGTATTCTATTTTTATTACACGATGTGTCAAGTAAATTCAGCTGTTTTGTCTACATCAATGCCAATGTACTTTTGTTGTGTAGTTCTGTAGTTTCCTCAATGATTATAATTTAGTAAAATAGGTTCGAGAGATTTATTTTTCTTTGTTGGTTTTTTTACATCGATGTAATTATTATCTGAGCCGAAAATGGAGCAATAATCTAAACGCTTTTAAGCTTTGCCTATAAGCTGTTTTCTTAGTATTCGAAATACAGCATAAAAATGTCGCGGAAAATTATCAATTTGGCATGCAGATTCCCTTCAAGAGGTTGACAGCGTAATTAATGGGATTTTATTATGCACATACGCCTATGGCAAAGAGCAAATCAGTGATAGCAAATTCCCAGACCAAATTGTCTTGTTGGCGTTAACGGTTGCAGCTTCCGTTGTCATTGAAATTCGGTCTCACGGATCCATGATGTTTCGTTTGACAAAAAAAAAAAAAAAAAAAAAAAAAAAAAAAAAAACAACTTCAAGATTTTAATGAATATACAAATAGTTAATCATTCATTAGATAAAAGCGCAAACGTACCAGTAATCTATAAATCGTTAAACTAGGCCTAAACTTTATTTCTATAATTAGTTATATTTCACTTAACGGGCGGGCTAAACGGTTTTTAACAGCATTCTTGAATTTCATTTGGTTTCTATTGTAGGCCCTACATGAAAAATACTAGTACTTGTAGGGCTAATAGTCTAAAATACCCAGTTCAAGGACCTATGTTTTCCAATATCGATGAGTATACAGACACGTGGACATGATTAGACCCTATACAACTGAGTCCTAGCTACTCTATTGGCTCTAACATAATAATTAATATATAATACATTAATTACACTATGTTTATACAGTTTTCTGCTAATAGTAGCCTATATCTCAAAATCTACCACGTGTTGGCCTACTACAAATGCAAATACTTTATTAATATTTTGTGGAACTCCATCAATCCACAATCAACTTTAGAATGCAAATACGTTTCTGCTTCGAGAGCTTGATATATTAAGAAAGTTATCCGACAGTGGACGTTATTATCATTGTAACCAACCGATTGGAAAATTTGACCAGGTTTGTCCGATACGATAGGCCTATGACTAAATAGGTCAAACTAATTTCACTGGGTCACTCCCTTAGGCAGAGTTAGTCATTATTTTCTTATGGTTGTCTTGGCTTTAATTCAAGGTTTAATTAGAACATTCAAGGTTGAACTTCCTTGGGTTACTTTTTAACGATTAAAACTATATAGTTTTAATTAAAACTATATATAGAATTTCCATATTGTTAAGGATAGTGGGAGTGCGCCCTTACTAATCATATTTTTGCGTAAACGATGCATTAGCACTAATGAATATTTCGTAAAATGTGTTTAAGATTGTTAAAACAAAAATTGTTTATAATCACTGTGTGTCAAATTATTATACCATTCCATCCTCTCTAGTCAGATGGGAAGAAGATTTCAATGTTGATAACTGGTCAACTGCATGGAAGAACAACATTCATTTAATTGATGATTTAATTTTTTTTTTTTTTTAAGATTTTACATAGAATTATCCCAACAAACTTGATGCTATTTAAATGGAAAATATAATCCACTGGTTTCTATACAGAACATATACAGAGATGCAAGATTCCAAAATATGATAAACATTTTTTCTTTTCCTGTATTGAGGTCAATATTTTTTGGAAGAAAATTAATGGTATTATGTCAAATTTCTGTAACATTGAAATCAATTTGCATTCAGGAGGAAAATTCTCTTAGAAAACAACCAGAGTGGGGCAGTAGATCTCTATTTGCTCTATTCATTGCTGAGTTAAAATGGAGGCCCCGCTGCAAAAATAAGATGTCTCGATCTGTTGCATCTCGGGAGTTAAAGTGTTTGGGTGATCTATTTATACATGTCGATAACATTTACATATTTGGCACTGGGATTTATCAATGAATGAAAATCATGGCTAACGTTATTTTGTGGGGATTTTAATCCTGGTTTACCAAGCTTTTATTATATTGTCCTTTGAAAATGACTGAGAATCATGTGGATTTCTTTTGATTTGAATTCTTTATACTGATTGTTAGCTTGAACATGGAATTTGTTGGAATTTAGGTACCCTGATTTATAAACTAGATAGGGTAAGTGTAAAAGAAGAAACAAAAATGACGTTTCCTGTTACGTGTAATGTTTCCGTATTTAAAAAAAAATGCAATTTTACAAGTAAATTTTCTAGGTTCTGGTCTCACGGCTGTAAACAAAAATGCATTTATTGATGTTGTTTATTTGCGTTTTCTTTCTTTCTTTTTTCCTTTTTTTTGTATTTTATGATGTATTTTTGATAAATAAAAGTGGTGGTTACATCACAAGAGAGAAAGAGAGAGAGGGAGAGAGAGAGAGAGAGAGAATTTAAGCTTTGTGTCTACTAATTTGTTTTTTCGTTTTAGTTTGTCTTATTTTTATAACATATTAATAAATCTTTATGGTTATACTGCGCACCGTTTTACCAAGGCTCTACGTACTTCGCGTTTTTGGACACATACACATGTTCATATTCCTTAAGCCTTCTCCAAACTGTCATATTTTATTTGACAAAAACATACGAATGCCTTAATTTGGTCATGACGGCATCACATCATGACCATGGATAGGCACATCATGACTACATAATGGGCATCAAACAGCTTTTTAAGGAAAATTCCATAATGTTGCAGCTAGTAATTAGCACTTAGCTTTTAAACATGCCAGATACTCACTTAAAAACATGGGTGGAGAGAGTGGAAGTGCCTTGCACAAGGACACATGTTAAATTCACATCGAAAGTTAATAGACTGTCAGAGATTGTTGATGCCAGTATTGGGTAGCTGAAAAATGAAAAAGGTCGACCGGAAGCTACCGGCAATGTTTGAGTAGGCCTAAAGCATAACTTATCTTGTCTGTCAAACCATGGAGGTATAGTCAAACTAAGGCTATGTTCACACACACGGCGTAAGGCTGGCTTAAGCGTGGCGTAGCGTACGCCTTTGTGTGTGAACTAGGCAGTGGCGTTGTTAAAGCCACTCAGTACGCCACGTCTTGGCGTTATTAATATACGGCCTAGCTATACTTAAATAATGTCGTTCTTATATAGCGCCTAATGCCTTAACAAAGCCTCTAAGCGCTTCACTCTAAGCGCTAAAATCAGTCATTCCACGGTTCTACCATACAAAATCGAATGCAAAAATATCTAAATTAAGTATTTCCTACAACCTTGGTGATTATACACGCGGGCGTCCTTTACAGTAGGCCTACGCATGGCCAGAGAGAAGTCATGGTCAATCATCGCCTCTGACGTGTAAGGAGCGGGTGATGATATATCTGCAGACAGTGTCAATCATTCGAGAGTGACGGCTCAGAGAAATGTGGTAGCGGTACACGGAGATACGTAAGCTGGCATGCACGCATCGTGATTTCGTCCACAGTCAGCTTATGTCATCACGATCGTTGAACTCTCACACGCGCTAAAATCATATTTCGATCCCACATTAATCATCGAAACCTCTAACGATCAGCTCCACTCCATTTCGATACACGCCACTGCTCGTGAGAGTCACAAACGAAAGCATAAATTCACGAATTAGGACTATTGTGCAATAGAATGACCCGGATATACCTTTTCTTGTGCCAGCGGTGGCAAATCGTTTAAATCTAAACTCAGCAATTAAACGAAAACAAATTAATAAATAATTAAAGCCTTCAAATTTTCTAAGTAAAAGGCTGACAAGATCACACAAATGTGCTTCAAGGTTTTTATTTAATTAAGGAGTAGGAAGGAAAAGAGAAAAGCCAAGGAAAGTTTAAGGACCATAAACAGCGTTCTTCCTACTTGCTCCTTATATTGATTGGTGGTGCAATTTTTTTTTTATGAGACACTGTATACTAGCGTATTTTAACGCTTAGCCCATATAAGGCGCCAAGTGAAAATTTATTATTTAACACAATTATTTATATATAA